TGTCCATGTGTTCTCATTGTTCATCCATCTATGAGTGAGAACATGCAGTGATTGATTTTCTGTTCTTGTGTCAGTTTGCTGAGAATGATGGTTTCCAGATTCATCCATGTCCTTACAAAGGACACAAACTCATTCTTTTTTATGGCTGCATAGTATTCCATGGTGTATTTGTGCCACATTTTCCTTGTCCACTCTATCATCAGTGGGCATTTGGGTTGGTTCCAGGTCTTTCCTATTGTAAACAGTACTACAATGAACATAAGTGTGTATGTGTCTTTATAATAGAATGATTTATAATCCTTTGGCTATATACCCAGTAATGGGATTGCTGGGTCAAATGGAATTTCTATTTCTAGGTCCTTGAGGAATCACCACACTGTCTTCCACAATAGTTGAACTAATTTACACTCCCACCAACAGTGTAAAACTGTTCCTATTTCTCCACATCCTCTCCAGCATCTATTGTCTCCAGATTTTTTAATGATCCCCATTCTAACTGGTGTGAGATGGTATCTCAATGTGGTTTTGATTTGCATTTCCCTAATGACCAGTGATGATGAGCATTTTTTCATATGTTTGGTGGTCTCATATATGTCTTCTTTTGAAAAGTGTCTGTTCATGTCCTTCACCCACTTTTGAATGGGGTTTTTTTTTCTTGTAAATCTGTTTTAGTTCTTTGTAGATTCTGGATATTAGCCCTTTGTCAGATGAGTAGATTGCAAAATTTTTTTCCCATTCTGTTGGTTGCCGGTTCACTCTAATGATTGTTTCTTTTGCTGTACAGAAGCTCTGAAGTTTAATTAGATCCCATTTGTTTATTTTGGCTTTTGTTGCCAATGCTTTTGATGTTTTAGTCATGAAGTCCTTGCCTATGCCTAAGTCCTGAATGGTTTTGCCTGGGTTTTCTTCTAGAGTTTTTTATGGGTTAGGTCTTATGTTTAAGTCTTTAATCCATCTGGAGTTAATTTTAGTGTAAGGTGTCAGGAAGGGGTACAGTTTCTGCTTTCTGCACATGGCCAGCCGGTTATCCCAACATCATTTATTAAACAGGGGATCCTTTTCCCATTACTTGTTTTTGTCAGGCTTGTCAAAGATCAGATGGTTGCAGATGTGTGACATTGCCTCCAAGGCCTCTTTTCTGTTCCATTGTTCTATGTCTCTGTTTTGGTACCAGTACCACACTGTTTTGATTACTGTAGCTTTGTAGTACAGTTTGAAGTCAGGTAGCGTGATAACTCCAGCTTTGTTCTTTTTGCTTAGGATTGTTTCGGCTATGCGGGCTCTCTTTTGGTTTCATATGAAGTTTAAGGTGGTTTATTCCAGTTCTGTGAAGAGGGTCATAGGTAGCTTGTTGGGGATAGCATTGAGTCTACAATTTACTTTGGACAGTATGGCCATTTTCACAATATTAATTCTTCCTAACCATGAGCATGGAATGTTTTTCCATCTGTTTGTGTCCTCTCTTATTTCGTTGAGCAGTGCTTTGTAGTTCTCCTTGAAGAGGTCCTATACATCTTTTGTTGGTTGTATTCCTAGGTATCTTATTCTCTTTGTAGCAATTGTGAATGGGAGTTTGCTCTTGATTTGGCCCTCTTTTAGTCTGTTATTGGTGTATAGGAATGCTTGTGATTTCTGCACATTGATTTTATATCCTGAGACTTTGCTGAAGTTGCTTATCAGTTTCAGGATATTTTGGGCAGAGATGATGGGGTCTTTTAAATATACAATCATGTCATCTGCAAATAGAGACAGTTTGACTTCCTCTTTTCCTAATTGAATACCTTTATTTCTTTTTCTTGCCTGATTGCTCCGGCTAGAACTTCCAATACTATATTGAATAGGAGTGGTGAGAGAGGGTTTCCTTGCCTAGTGCCAGTTTTCAAAGTGAATGCTGCCAGTTTTTGCCCATTCAGTATGATATTGGTTGTGGGTTTGTTGTAAATAGCTTTTATCATGTTGAGATATGTTCCATTGACACCTAGTTTATTGAGAGTTTTTAGCATAAAGGGCTGTTGAATTTTGTTGAAGGTCTTCTCTGCATCTACTGAGATAATCATGTGGTTTTTGTCTTTGGTTCTGTTTTTGTGGTGGATTATGTTTATAGACTTGCGTATGTTGAACCACTCTTGCATCTCCAGGATGAAGCCTACTTGATTGTGATGGATAAGCTTTTTGATGTGCTGTTATAATCAGTTTGCCCGTATTTTATTGAAGATTTTTGCATCTATGTTAATTATGGAGGTTGGGCTGATGTTTTCTATTTTTGTTGAGTCTCTGCCAGGTTTTGGTATCAGGATGATGTTGGTCTCAGAAAATGATTTGGGAAGGATTCCTTCATTTTGGATTGTCTGGAACAGTTTCAGAAGGAGTGTTACCAGCTCCTCTTGGTACATTTGGTAGAATTAGGCTGTGAACCCACCTGGATCTGGGCTTTTCTTGGTTGGTAGGCTATTAATTGCTACCTCAACTTCAGCCCTTGTTATTGGTCTTTTCAGGGTTTCAACTTCTTCCTGGTTTAGGCTTGGGGGCATGCAAGTGTCCAGGAATTTATCCATTTCTTCCAGGTTTACTGGTTATGTGCATAGAGTTGTTTGTAGTAATTTTTGATGGTAATTTGTATTTCTGTGGAATCAGTGGTGATATTTCCTTTATCATTTTTTTTATTGCATCTATTTGATTCTTCTCTCTTTTCTTTTTTATTAGTCTGGCTAGTGGTCTATTTTGTTGATCTTTTCAAAAAACCAGCTTCTGGATTTGTTGATTGTTTTGAAGGGTTTTTTTGTGTCTCTATCTCCTTCATTTCTGCTCTGATCTTAGTTATTTCTTGTCTTCTGCTAGCTTTTGAGTATTTTTGATCTTGCTCCTCTAGCTTTTTCAATTTTGATGATAGGGTGTCGATTTTAGATCTTTCCTCACTTCTCTGGTGGGCATTTATTGCTATAAATTTCCCTCTAGACAGTGCATTAAATGTGTCCCAGAGATTCTGGTACGTTTTGTCTTCATTCTAGTTGGTTTCAAAGAACATCTTTATTTCTGCCTTCATTTCATTGTTTACCCAGTCAACATTCAAGAGCCAGTTGTTCAGTTTCCATGAAGTTGTGCAGTTCTGAGTAAGTTTCTTAATCTTGAGTTCTAAATTTGATTGCTCTGTGGTCTGAGAGACTGTTACGATTTCTGTTCTTTTGCATTTGCTGAGGAGTGATTTAATTCCAATTATGTGGCCAGTTTTAGAGTAGGAGTGATATAGTGCTGAGAAGAATGTATATTCTGTGGATTTGGGGTGGAGAGTTCTGTAAATGCCTATTAGGTTTGTTTGGTCCAGGTCTAAGTTCAAGTCCTGGATATCCTTGCTAATTTTCTATCTAGTAGATCTGGCTAATATTGACAGTGGAGTGTTAAAGTCTCCCACTATTATTGTGTGGGAGTCTAAGTTTCTTTGTAGGTCATTAAGAACTTGCTTTACGTATCTGGGTGCTCCTATATTGGGTG